GTTCCAGCTGTTCGGGTCTGTTCTTTCTCACTCCCTTGCTCGAAAGCTCAACTGCCTACGGTGGCTTCCCGCTCTCTTTTTCTTGATCACTTCCACTCCCATTCTCATGCCACCGCTGTGTACACAGATGGCTCTAAGTCTTCCGACAGCGTCAGATTCACAGCAGTGTTTCCGGACAGCGTCGTGCAGGGACATTTACTATCTTCAGCTAGCATTTTTACTGCTGAACTGTATGCCATTCTTGCAGCACTTACTCGTATCGCATCTATGCCTGTGTCATCATTTGTAGTAGTCGCAGACTCCCTTAGTGCTCTATAGGCTATACGAAAATTTGATACATCTCATCCCCTAGTTCTCCGTATCCAACTTTGGCTACGCCGTATCTCTACCAAACATAAAGATATTGTTTTTTGTTGGGTCCCTGGTCATGTCGACGTACAGGGCAATGAACAGGCAGACACTGCTGCGCGGTCAGCAGTACATGACCTACCAATTTCCTATCGAGGTGTTCCATTTCTGGACTATTTTGCTGCAATAGCTACCCACCTTCGCACCCGTTGGCAACAACGTTGGTCAACTCTGCTCAGTAACAAACTTCATTCTATTAAACCGAGCATAGGTTACTGGCCGTCTTCTTGTCATCAGTGCCGAGGTTGGGAGACCACTCTTTCCCGCCTTCGCATTGGTCACACTCGTCTTACTCATGGGTATCTCATGGAGAGGCACCCTGTTCCTCTCTGTGAGCAGTGTCAAGTTCCAGTATCGATTAGCCACATTCTGTTAGACTGCCCTCTCTATCAACGAGCACGCAGAATTTACCTCCAACATCGTCTTCGTTCTACTACTCTCTCTTTACCTTCCCTTCTTGCTGATGGACCCTCGTTTAATCCTGACTCTCTCATTGACTTCTTGACAATGACTGATTTACTCCACAAACTCTGATGATACTTTTCGCACTCCCCTCAGCCCTTTCTAAGTTCAGTCTCTTGCTGCCCTTTACCCTTTCACCATCCACTGCCCCGCTGTTATCCGTAACCTATTACTCATCCATCTCCCTTTTGCCACCTGATGCCCTCGCTTCCTTCCTGCCCTGCAGCGCTGTATAGTCCTTGTGGCTTAGCGCTTCTTTTTGATTATTATAATAATAATCCAGTACAACCATCGACTTCAGTAGCAGAACCTCTACCATCCACCTCAGCCCAGTAATGCCACAGCATAACACTTAACAATCATCCACAAACACAAGCACCCACAATTTAAGGTAAGTAATACTATTACAGTGGAACCTCGGTTTTTTGTGATTAATCCGTTCAAAAAAGTCTGACGATAAACCGAATCATACAAAAACTGAAGCAATATTTCCCATAAGAAATAATGTAATCCAATTACCCAAAAATACTAACAAAAAAAAATACATTTTATAGAGAATAACTAGTTTTACATAAACTAGGGCATATTACAACAACATATTACATCACAATAGTGAACTACAATTATATTCACTTTCATTTGTGGAAGAAGTTGTTTGACTTTTTGGGGGGCTCCTAGGAATGTAACCAATTTTTTCCCACAAGTTCTTCAGTTTATCTAACGGATTTACCTAACAGCATTTTCAGGAATGTAACTTTTGTGTAATATAACTGTCTACTATACTTTCCATTGTGAAACTAATTAAAATCATATCAATTTCTGTAATATATCTTCCATTGTATCAAATGAGACCAAAAAATGAGTATACAACCATAAAATCCATACGAAAATACACTGCAAAGCCGTCTGTTTTTTCCAAAGTCACTTATTTTTCCCACGAGTTCATTTTATCTAACACGGATTTACCTAACACGGCGTTTTCAGGAACGTAACTACCGTGTAATATTACGCTCTACTGTCCTTTCCATTGTGATGCCAATCAAAATCATATCTATTTCTGTAATATATCTTCCATTGTATCAAATGAGACCAAAAAATGAGAATACAACCATAAAAACCATATGAAACTACACTGCAGAGTCGGTTTTACAAAATAAGAACTGTCAGTTTATTCTCATTATGCACTGCATGCTGCGGGATTTTTATTTATATAGTGCACACTTACCACACAGACCTATTCTCTCGTATATAGGCCCAAATTTACCAATTACAGCTTATCTGAGTAAGCCTGAGCTCATGGTGACTGACAGTGGCTTCAAAGCCACCTAGTCTTATATGGACAATGTATGGTTTATGTGTTTTACACAACAAGAAGCATTTCTTTTATTCATTGGAACCACGGCTAGTGCTAAAAGTGAGCAGGTTATAACAAATGGAGAAAAAAGAAATTGGAATGATACACAAATAATCTGCACATTGAAGAGAGGAGCTTACGACGACGTTTCAGTCCGACTTGGACTGGTCCAAGTCGGACCGAAACGTCATCGTAAGCTCCTTTCTTCTATGTGCGGGTTATTTGTGTATCGTTCCAGTCACAGTATTGTGCCTTTTTTTTTTTTGTTATAAATTGGAATGACTTATGCAGAAAGTAGTGTCACCAAACAGTATCGGCAGGTTGATGTGGTGACCCCGGAAATTTAAAATTATGCTAGCCGAAATTAGTGCCGGATTAGTGATGGCTGATCTGTAATAAAATAAGAAAAAAGTAATAATTAAAAATTGCCTATTTATAAATAATGGACCTGCAGCATGATGACATGCACTCTTTCTTTCCCCTAAGTTCTCAGTAATGCACAAGATAAAGGTGAAAAAGTAGGTAATGGGACTGGTTGGTTTTTATTGTTTATATAGCCCCACATATAAGACAGGAACCATCCCAAGCATGGAATGGAACTTCACTAAGCAAGGTGCTCAGCATTAATCAGGTGTGGAGACTCTCAGGCAAGTTGTGGGAGCTTTCCAAGCCTGGTGTAGTGCCTTCCAAAGCTAGGTGGTGGCCTTCACAAGTAGATGGATGTGTGATGTAATCCAAGGAAAATGTACAGCCTGCCTGAGCAACATGTTTACCCTTCAATCCTGAAACAAAGGAGTTTTCACACCATGGAGGGTTACAGACAGTAGTAGGACAATGCAAGTTCATTTAGCTCTGAAACTTCACAGTTAATGCAATACTTACTTTAATTACTTGTGATTATCAGATAATGACATTCTAAAATACTCGTATATCATTAACTTTCACAGAGATTTACAGAAAAGATGTGCCCAACATTTATGGTATTGACATGACTACAGCTGAAACTATCTGAACTTGTTGCTTGTCTTTGTGATCTTGCAGGAAATATTCAAGTTTTCACAACAAATGCCTTTTAATTTATAAGTAGACTTTTTAATCTGTGTGTTTTCTAACAGCAGAATTTTTGGTCATATACCTTTTGTAGTATGGTTTTACAGAAAGCTGTTATTACAAAGTTCACAGTGTAAACATAAATGTAAAACCTTCCTGCAAATTGAGGCTTGAAAAAAATAACTGGAGTGAATGAACGATTAAAAGAAATTTACAGAATCTGCAACACACAAGATATTAAGAATAAAAGATTTAGAAGCTTAAGTATTCAGGGCTTGGTTTACATTAATAATGGCTTCTAGTGACAGAATTCAATGCTGCTAATGATTTTGCATATTACTGTAATAAATTTAATATATAACACAGCTTGAATAAGACACAGGCAGGGGTGATTGCTTTAATTTTTGGTTGTGGGAACAGTAAATTGATGTTAAAATTAATTTGCAAGTATTGTATGATACTTTCCAATATAACAACTTGGATGAAAAAGAAAGGAAACACAAAACTCTTAATGGCATCATGAATGAAAGAATTGCTTGCAAATATAAGTAGCCATTATTAAAATGTATACATTTTTAACCATTCACAAGTACAGTAAAGCCTCGATTTCATGAATTACAAGAATGGAAGAAGGTATCCATTAATAATGCCAGTGTGAATGATTAAAAAATATAAAGGAAAGCACTACAGTACTCTAAACTGCGGTACTATATTATGTATACAGATGTACTGTACCAAACGCTGAAAATAAACAAATTAAAAGTACCGTAAATTTATGTACCTTGTGTAGTGGATAGATGAGATGTTTTGAATCATCAATAACTAACAATTCTGTACCCAGCAGATTTTGTCCATTATATCTGTAATTTGTCCACCATGTGCCATAATAACAGATGATTCTATATCCAGCAGACTGTTTTTTTCCGAGATACATTTACCCAGCAGATTTTGTTAGTTACTTCCAGATCCATCAAAAGGAGATCCATTATATCGAGGTTTTACTGTATGGCCATCTATCTGCCCTCCCTACAATAAGAGAGCACCTGTACAGATGCAAACTTTTACCCATACTTCTCCAGCAATATTTCAAATTGGATGCACATGACAAGATAAAATTATTGAAGATTAAACATTAATAATGGAATTGGGAAATGTGAACAAAGATTAAAGTGGTGTAAATATAACTGCATCTTGAATTTACCATAATTAAAAAACCTGCATATATATACTACAATACATTACAAAAGTGATTTATACTAAAAATGAACTATAAGGTGATCCTTTATTAAGACAGTATGAAAAGAAGTGACAGAACCATTCTATAGCATTTTATGTTCTGTAATGAGGGGAAATAGAGCCCATGCTTTTCCAAAGCTTTTAAGGTAAAAGCAGTGCTGTATGACCCTTGTGGGTTTAGCTCTTAATTTTGATTATAATAAAGTAAAAATCTTAAACTAAGCCTTTAGGAAAAAAATTCTAATTGCAGTTAGGTACAGGAGAGCAAATATTTTTCATTTTTTAATACCAACTCGAAGGAGATTACGTATTTTGCATTGTTGAAGGGTTAATTATTAGTAACCATATTTAATGTACGAGATCACAAAACTTCAGAAAATTACAATAGCTACTGAATAAAATACTGGTAACCACTGTCTAGTCTAGGCATGTGCAGCCAACATAGTTCAGTCTCATTTTCTGTGATATGTAATATGGAGTATAGCAGTAGAGAATGACCAAAGCTGATGCTCTGTGCTAATCTCCTCCAAGGAAGACTATCAGACACAAAATCAACAATAACAATCTTTAGTCACTGCAAGATCACAATGATTTTGTTTGCCTGTGAAGACCATCACATACTGTGTATTTACAGGGCTCTATACTTTTACACTATACCAACATCTATTAAATATGTAAAAGTAATTAAAATAATTTACAGCTTATTTATCACTTGTATTTTAAAAGCAGTCTGTTATATATTTTCCTGAAGTGTGGAATAGTACAGTTCTTTTGGGAGAATTCTGTATCTTTAATGAAGGTGATTGGTTAGGCAGTCTGAGCAGATGAAATGTCTATGTATTTCACTAACAAGTGTACAGTGTGTATTATGCATGTTAATATTGCATATGAAGGTATAATAAAACATCGTAGTAATGTAACACAAAGGCAGACTATGTAATCATAATTACATAAGAGAAAAACAAAGTTATTATTGCCATGGTTATGAGGGGAAAGTGAATATAATTAAATGAAGGCTTTTTGTTATCTTTTTACCTCGAGGGAGGTTCCTTGATGCTGGTGAAGGGCTCCTGATCAAAGAAATTGGACCTGTGATCCAATTCCTTGAACTGAGTCTGAATACCTTACCAACCCCTATGGGTTTAGCACTTCCCCATGAATGTAATAATAATAGTGTTCAGAACAATTTTGTGTAAATGTAAGTCTAAATTTATGCTGAATTAAATAGGGGCTACCAAAACCTCAAATATCACCTGCAGCTTCAATGATGGCAAGCCATACTTTATATATTACCAAGGCTACTAGACTTCATGTATATATATATATATATATATATGTATATATATTAACAATTTAACTATAGCACATGCTCTATAATGCTCATTTGTGTTACAAAGCATACATGCATATCCCATCATGATACGTAATTCTATATGTTAATGCAGGACATAAAGTCGTGCTAGTATTTTTCCTGTGGAATTTGAGTAATAATAAACTTTTTTTACTGAATGTAACTTGCATGTCTGCATGCTATTTTCTATCAGTAGGAATTTATGTTCTCCACATAATAAATTATTTTTCAGTAAATTTTATATGCATACAGTATATATATATTTTATTTATATAAATAGTAATAACATTTACATAAATACATAAATCAAAGTTGTTGAGCCCACAAGTATGCAACATTAACCTGTGATGGAATTAAGCCTTATCTGTGTGTGCAGAGCTCAACGCCTTAATTTACAGCCCATTCAACACATCCAAGACATACCACATCTGAACACACTAAGCTTTTATTAACAAGTACTGTATTTGACAGGTTTCTGATAGGAGTATATTAAATCCACAGTTTAATTTGCATCTCTTATCTGTAAAGAATGAGAGACTACTTATCATCATAAGTATTACAACTGAAATAATGCACACATGAGCACCACTATTAGAGTACATCTGTTCTAGATGATCCATAAAACTTCACTTGCTGGAAACTTGAACATTAGAGTTCCGGTATCTATTTGTGCTCTGATACAGATTTGACCCATCATGAATAAATATACTGAAGGTTGAAATGTCTCTGAATCCCAACCTTTATTGTCAAGCCAACAATTTGACCTGGAACACAAGAAATGAGTTTTCATTATCCAAGCAATAAGAATGCAGAACATCTGTTGCAACACTTGAGTACTTTCATCTTATTTTCAACTCCCTTCTTCGGCTTAATGTATTTAGTTTCACAGTTTTTCACACTATCTAAAATACCATGAAATAATCCAATATATTTTTCTTATTTTTTTAGCACTAACCTTATACAATAACACAGCTGGCCCCCCTCAAAAGAAAATATATACCGGTATGTATTTGGGCCTCCAATGCTGTTTACTTAAGTATAACAGGTCTCAAGCTTTTCTTTGGGTTGCTTCTTAATTTCTACTAAAGCTGTGCATTACTGAAGAGTATTATTCACTAGGTAGGCATACAGGTCTTACAAATCCCATATACTAATGGGACAGAAATCTTCCATAAATGTTCCAACTTCACTGAAACATGAAATACCATTAGAATATTAATATGTACATCAGGTTTTTTTATATGGACTCATTAATAAGCATAAATAACTAAAAATTATTACAAAATCTGTAAAAGAAACGTTTGTACATTACAATTCTATGTCCCCCTCGCTTTATGCAATGTTATGTGATGTCCTAGTTTTATTGGTAATTCAATTTGTTACAATTTGCAAAGCAGATCAAAGATTCTTATTACAGTAGGGCCCCGCTTTACGGCATTCCACTAATACAGACATTTCAAATTATGACCAAAACTCGCTATATGGCTCCCCCACCTGACTTTCTAATACGGTCATCGCGCCCCACTCGATTTCTTTACATGCTCCCTGAGCGTCTCCACTATGGAAACTTTCCAAAAATTCAAGTGTTTTAAAGTTATTTCATGTTTTATATATACTCTGATAATTATACTTGTGTACCTGTACCTAAATAAACTTACACACTGTGCTGGCATGCAGGTACACATTAAAATCACTAAGAATGTCTTATTCGTCTTGAGGATGCCATACAAATGATGATAATACTACGCAATAATAATCACTGAGGCGCATTAAATGTTGTATACAGTGGACCCCCGGTTCGCGATATTAATCCGTTCCTGAGAGCTCATCGTAAACCAAAATTATCGGAAAGCGAATCAATTTTCCCCATAAGAAATAATGGAAATCAAATTAACCCATGCAAGACACCCAAAAGTATGAAAAAAAACCTTTTACCACATGAAATATTAAGTTTAATGCAAAAGAATAATTACAATAACAATAGAATAATGGACACTTACCTTTAATGAAGATCTGGTGATGATTGATGGGATGGGAGGAGGGGAGAGTGTTGAACCTATTGTTTAGAAGGGGAATCCCCCTCTATTAGGACTTGAGGTAGCAAGTCCTAATGAGTGATGTAGGTCCTGCTTGGCAATTTCTTCCAAAACAGGCCTGTTTCGTCACAAACACTTGTTCAGGTTTCAATCCTTCAGCCTCTATGTACTCCTTGATTCATGCACATATTTTTCAGCCACTTTGTGGTTTGAACTGGCAGCCTCACCATGCCTAATCACACTATGTATGCCACTACGATTCTTAAATCTTTCAAACCAACCTTTGCTGGCCTTAAATTCACTCACATCACTAGTTGCAGGCAATTTCTTTACCAAATCGTCATGCAACTGCCTAGCCTTTTCACAAATGATCGCTTGAGAGATGCTATCTCCTGCTATCTGTTTTTCCATTTGTCCACACCAATAACAGTCTCAACATTTTCTAACACTTGCGGTCGCTGTTTCGTAATCACAGTTGCACCTTTTGCAAGAACAGCTTCCTTGATTGCCATTTTCCTGCTCACTATAGTAAAGATGGTTGATTGGGGTTTACTATACAACCTGACCAGCTCCGACACACGCGCTCCACTTTTGTACTTTGCAATTATCTCTTTCTTCATTTCAATAGTCATTAGCACCCTTTGTCTCGAAGGGTTGGCACTAGAAGCTTTCTTGGGGCCCATGGTGACTTATTTTGCAGAAACAAGCACCAAAAACAGTGATAATATGGAATGTATCCTTAGATGCGCGCACACTGGCTGGCTTGTAAACACTGGCACACACGGTTCAGTTCAGGCCACACGTGGACACGTCTCGTACGAATCGTATCGCATACCGGGTTTTGTAACGGGAACCGAGGCAAATTTTCTGCGATATAATGCATCGGTTACCGGATTTATTGGATACCGATAGCATCGCGAACTGGGGGTCCACTGTACTACATTAAACATTTTCATTAATCCATCCATGATATTTTTTCAAAATTATATAATAAACACACTATGTAACATATAAATACACCCCACAGTAGAATAAATTAACATAAATATGAGATGTTATGTGTATGAACCAAAACCAGACATGTTCGTCTGCTTGTTTACACAACTTCGCGTCTCTATCCTCTCTCGTTTACTTGTTCTCTCTCGTTTATTCGTTTTACCTTGTTTACTCACCTCTCGCCCTACATTAAGACTACAAATATTTTAAGTAATGAGTGTACTGTACATATATGCATCTTATCACTAGGGTGCTTGAAATGTAGTATATTACGTGTGGGTCGGGTGGCCTGGCTGGTTACCATACCTCCCACACCTGACTTCCTACAAATAAATACTACTCACCTCTCGCCTTACATTAAGACTACAAATATTTTAATGTAAGTAATGAGTGTACTGTGTGTGTGTATTTTACTTTTTATTGTTTGTAATGCCTAGATCTATTGCTAACTATATATGTTAGTGTAAACTTGTTATCTGGCATTTATAAGTGGAAAAAATGGTGTTCTGCTTTCCCGTGGTAGCCTGGAATCTAACCTGCTGTATAAGTGGGGCCCTACTGTATGTGGAATTAAGTGTTTTTGACCTGACTGAGCTTAGGACAGCTGCCAAGTACTTGGAATACATCTACAGCAAACAGTAAGATATTTTTCAAAGGTAATAATACTATACAGTACAGATTTTTAATTAATTTAAAACAATTTACTAGTTGCCAATTTAATGTATAATTTGCTATCAAGAATTTAATCTGGCAGCCAAAGATGCCTGATACATATATTTAAAGAACTTTTTTTTTTATATGTATAAGCCATTTTCCACCATTTACTGCCCTTGTGAGCAGCCACATTTTCATCATGGAGGGAATTATCAGCTAAATGGACTATGTTGGCTTGTTTCCTATGCAAAGCATGTACTCACCTATTTGTGGTTTCAGGAGTCAAGTCCTAGCCCCCACTTCTCAACTTAACAGTTTCACTTTCTCTTAGCCTTGTGGACCTTAACGTATGAAGGCTGCCTCCACCATTTCTTTGTTGAGGTTATTCCACTTTCTGACATCCTTGTGCCTCTGGTGATATACTATGTACTATACTTACTCTCAGGTCCTCTTTGAATGAGGTCTGCAGCCTCTGTCCCTGAAGTCTACACTCCATGCCCATCTTCTGGCCTCTTCCTCAATCTTCATAACCTTGCATTTACTGGGGGTTGAATTAAAGCAACCACTTGTGTGTTTGTCCAGATCCATTGCAACCTTTCCCTGTCCTCATCTGTTAATATTCTTCTCATCAATTTTACATCAGCAGCAAACATAGATACATCTAACTCGATCTCATCAGGTATGTCATTCACATAAACCAGAAACACTACTGGCCCTAATACCAATCCATAGGTACCCTGCTTGTTACTCCTCCCCATTCTGATTCCTTGCCCTAAGGTACTCTTGCATCCAGAGTATGTTCCCAGTTATTCCTGCCTGCTTCTCAAGTTTTCACTCCAATCTCACTTGGTATACAGTGTCAAATGACTTCTTTCCATGAAAATGCAATCTACCCAGCCCTCTCTTTCCTATCTCAACTCTGTTACTTTGTCATAGAATTACAAAAGGTTGGCAAGCCAAGAATTGCCATCTCAAAGCCTGGGATGGATATCCTCCTATGTCAGACGTACAGTAAACACTAGTTCCAGCCTTGCTGGCACATTTCATTTCTCTATTATCATATCCCTAACACTGCAGGCACGAAGTTTTTTCCCTGATTCCCTCTTTGAATTTTTGTCAGCAACAACTTTATTACACCAACTTGATTACATGCACTTCCTTTAGCACTCCTCACCACCCTTCCTAATTCTACCTCTGTTATACTCTTCACCCTCACTGATCTCAGATCAGGCATATTACACTTTTTAGCACACCCCACCCTGCTGAGCTGTATGCCCCTTTTGAGTTTAGTGTTTGGTTATGATCATAATAATAATTTGCATGCAAGGGGACCCACATACTCCTAGCTTGTCCTACTGGTGGGTTTAGCACTTAGTTCTGATTATAATAGTTATCCTCCTAGTACTACAGGAGTTAAACATCCCTCTGTAGTTCATTCAATTCATGGGCTAATTTGATGATGGCAGTAGAAACAATGTTTGAAAGTAATGTGATGTGAATATGTATTAGTCTGAGGAAATTCAGTGGTGTGATATCAAGAAAAGCATCAATGGAATAAGCTAGTTGCCAGCACACTGTTTCTAATCAAACACAATTGTGCTAATGGCTTCATCACAGTCAGTTGTCAGATACAGTATTTCTTTGCTTACATACTGAAAAGAGCAAACTTATAGGAAGGGCACCAGTGCTGTATGACCCTTGTCAGTTTAGCACTTTATTTGATTATAATAATATAGAAAGGCACTCAGTGCCACTCTGCAGGTGCTGTCAGACTGTGCTGATAGTTGAACATGTTTTGAATGAGTAACTCGTTCACTAAAGAGCTTACCATTATTGTTTACTTCAAAGGCATCCTGGTATGCTTGTTCTGCAAGCCATTCTTCCTAACAGCCCCACAGACCTGCTACTCCAAGTATGACTCAGCACTGTGCTGAGGGTCACAGTGCCTTTTTGACAGCAACAGATTTATTACACAAACTTTGATTATACTTCCTTTAGCACTCCTCACCACCCTTACTAAGTCTTCACCCTCGCTAGTCTCTGATTAGCAGCTTGCTGTACTCAGGAGACTGCACTCTCCGGGCTCCGTATTGGCCACACTCGCCTTACCCATGGGTATCTCATGGAATGACATGCTATTCCTCTGTGAGGTTTGTCGGGTCCCTATTTTGGTTCTTCACTTGTAGATTGCCCAGTTTACCAGCGAGCTTGCAGATTTACCTCCAACGCCACCGCCACCGCCCCCCCCCCCCACTCTTACCTTGTCTTCCCTTCTTGTAGACGGCCCTGCATTTGACTTGCAATCACTTTTTGACTTTGTCAGCAACTGCTTTACTGTATGAATTTTGACACATAGCCCTTAGTGTCCCCTCTAGCCCTTCTCTCCCCTCCCTCTCCACCTAGCTGTTTATAGCCTCAGCACTTTTCTGCTCTGCAGCATTGAATGCCTCTAGTGGGTTTAGCACTTAGTTATGATTATAATTATAATTTCCCCTTCTTCATCCTTAATGTCAGCCCCTTCAATGGCCAAAAGTCTCATGGTTCTAAGAACTGGAGCTACCCTCCTTTTGGATCAAAGCTGATTTCCTACATACTTTATGGATTTAGCACTTTCAGAAATAGAAAGAAACAAGCCACCAATACCCAATAATTTGCTTATATAGGGTTTAGCACTTCATTATGATTATAATAATTTGCTTTATATAATTAATGACTCGAGGTACATGTTAGTTCGTTGGTTATGACAAGCTACAAGAAGTAATTTACATGCCAAGAAAATCTTTATATCTACTAGTAACACTCACCTACTTGCTCATGCCTTTTCAAGCAAACTCTCTCGTATTTCATCATACCTGCAACAACAATTGTTAATAGTTAAATGCATTTTATTGTACATTAAATGGTAAAAAAGCATTCTTCCATTAAAGTTTAACACAAAATTTTGGTCTGAGGAATTAGACCTTTTGGTCTCCTTCCTCAGACCGAACCTAATTACCCCCCAATCCCCTCCTTCCTTATCCCATCCTCCCCATCCCCCTCCTTTTCCCTTTCATCCTTTCCCCATCCCTTCCATATCCCCTTCCTGTTTTCAGGCTTTGGGATTCTTCCCACAAGCACTCTAGTTCCGAGGTAGAGGGAAGGGTACTGTGGTCCATCCCATTCCACCGAGGTCTGTGGTGGTGTAGTTTACCATGGAATCTGGATCACCTGGGGATGTCCCACTCCCTCTCTGGTCTCCTGGGGGGTGGCTTTGAGTGTCTTTTGGGTGATGGGTGCATCTCTGGAAGCCGCCTTTCAGATTCTGGGGGATGGTGGCCAAAGGAGGTATTCTTTGTGGCGGATATTTGGCCACCCTTTCTTTTGTCCACCGAGGTGGCTCAGTAGATGTGAGGTTCCTATCCCAGACTGCTGGTTTACTGACATGAAGGGTCGAGTATGGCACAGGTTTCATGCCACATCTACACTACCTGTGGTGCTGGGGTCCTCTTGTGCATGGAGGGGGATTTACGACCCTTTCATTCTTCCTAGGAGCTATCCCTCCACATTCCCCCTCCTTTTTTTTTTTTTTTTTTTTTCTAAATAATAAAAAGAAAGAAGTGACATAACCATGGAGTCCCAAGTCCATGAAACAGCTTCCCCGGCCCCTTTCTGTTACCGCACCTTGTTCCGACCTTACCTCATTATTTGACCACTCTCCAGACATTTCTCATGCCACTGTACCTCCTGCTGGTGCTGTTTTGTCACCTGCTTCAGGTACCGGGGTTCTGCCTAACTCCTTTGATACATTCGACCTCCTCACTTCTTTGACCATGCTTCCAGTGCGCCGATTTTCAGATCGCCTGCCTGTTCCATGTCAGACCAACTCCAGCCCCACACCTAAATGCCCAAGACCATTACCTGATGATACTCCTTCACTTCCTTCTCATTCTGCCCAGAAAAGACTGGCATGACACTCCCTACCCTTACGTGCTGTTTCAAAATATACAATGGACTAAGTCTTTTACTCTGTGACCGACTTCTTCTCCTATCTTTCCGATCATAGTATTAGCAAGGCACTCCTATACCATATTGGTCGAGATATATCCTTTCATGCTCTCAAGAGTGGTGCACGCATCGTCATGGTACAGAATGCTAGCCAAGCTCACGATCTTTCTCTCCTAACAACCATACGTAGATGCTGTTCCTGCAACTATTGAAAAACATCATTCTCTCAATTCTTGTAGGGGTACTGTCATTCTACCTCATACCATTGTCCAACAGAATTTCCAGACATGTGGTGATGACATTCTGGAAAAGCTTGAGCTCCAAGATCTCCCAATCCTCAAAGTAGACACTTATGTCCTCCCTGCCCGCAGGTGGAGATGATACCCTTGCAATATAGCTTGCTTAACTTTTGACTGTCGTGAGCTTCCATCCTCGGTTTATATTGTGGGACACCATTTACAAGTTCAAAAGGTGATCCCTACACCACAACAGTGTAGAAGTTGCTGGCATTTTGGTCATCCAGTGAAATATTGCAGGTCCATAGTCGAATGCCCAGTCTGTGGTGCCAACGACCATACCAATACATCTTGTAGTCTACTTCCCTCTTGCCTTAACTGTTGTAAGGCTCATCCATCTTACTCTCACTGTTGCCAAGTTTACTTAAATGAGCAAGAAAATCATTGTCTCAAAGAGGCAGAAGGCTTTCCTTATGCTATGGCAGTCTCTCATCTATACCTCCAGGGGAGACTTCCCCGTATTTCTTATTCTCATGTTACTAAACGACCCCCCACCTCTGGGGTCCCAACTTCCACAGCCTCCTCTATGATCACCCCTTCCACAGTCACCCGTCTCTAATTTTTTTGCTGTCCTGGACTCAGAGGTCCCTACCTCAACACCTCATTCTGTTCTCGCCTCTACCTCTTCTCACTCACAGGTTTTTGTGTCTACAAGACCTCGTACAACAACTCCTCCCCATTTCCCCTCTACTGCTCCGAAGTCCAAAAAACCTCCATTGTTAAAATCTCCTTTAACCCCTCCTTCCCTTCTACCAACAAATTTTTCCTTTCCAGTCTCTGTTCCTGGTTCTTCACCTCTAACTGGCTCTGATCCGAGTGTGGAGGTTCATCATCCTCCTCGTACAATGCGTTCCTCTTCTATCCCCTCCCAAGTTTCTTCTTCTGCCCCCTCCCAGGTCACTTCCTCTTCTGTCCCCTCTCAAGCTTCTTCTCCAGTTCCCTGTACCCTTTTGCCAACCCCCTACTTTGGAACATTCCATCGTCGCCCCTTACTCACCCTCCTCCTTCCCTCTCCAATATAGTCCCACATACAATGTCCTTGTCCTCTGAAACACTTGAAGTTATCCCTGAATATGTTGAGGAGACTAGACCATTGATGGACACTGATCCACCTCCTGTTCCTCCTCTTCACTCTTCTCCATCTGTACAACTCCTTTCTTCACAGCGTCCCAATCCTTTGCTGCTTGTGCATTGTTCGCTGCCTCCACACATGGACTTTTCTAACCCTTCTAATCTGTAGATCCTCTTCAAGGGAGGGCTCCTTGTTGTGATGAAGAGCCTCTTGGTCTGAGGAATCAGACCTGTCGGTCTCCTTCCTCAGACCGAACCTAATTACTCCCCAATCCCCCCCTCCCTATCCCATCCTCCCCTTTTTCCTTTCCTCCTCCTCCCCACCCCTCCCCTTTGCCCTTCCTCTTTTTGGCCTTTGGGATTTCTCCCACAGGCGCGCTAGTTCCTAGGTAGGGGAAAGGATACCGGGGTCCATCCCATTCCGTTGAGGTTCTTGGCGGTGGCGTAGTTTGCCGTGGAATCTGGATCACCTGGGGATGTCCCAATCCCTCTCTGGTATCCCGGAGTAGCTTTGGGTGTCTTTCGGGCGACGGGTGTATCTCTGGAAGCCACCTTTCGGATTCCGGGGGTGGTGGCCGAAGGAGGTATGCTTTGTGACGGATATCCAGCCGCCCTCTCTTTTGTCTACCGAGGTAGCTCGGCAGATGTGAGGTTGCTATCCCGGATTGCTGGTTTACTGGCATGAAAGGTAGGGTATGGCACTGGTTCCATGCTGCATCTGCGCTGAGGTCCTCTTGGGTGCGAAGGGAGATTTCTGGCCCTTTCATTCCTCCTGGGAACTATTCCTCCCTGCTCCCCCCTTTTTTTATTCTTTTTTTTATTTTTATTTTCTTTTCTTCTTTCTTTTTTTTTCTTAAAAACAAAAAACAAAGGAGAACTCAATCCATGAACCCACTACCCCCGGGCCCCTTCTTGATACCGCACCCCATTCTGACCCTGCCTTGTTTTTAGACCACTCTTCGGACACTCCTGATGCCCCTGTACCTCTTGCTGGTGCTGTTTCCTCACCCGCTTCAGGTACCGGGGCTTCGACTGACTCCTTCGATTTGTCTGACCTCCGCTCTCCTTTGACTATGCTTCCGGCCTCTCCCTCTACGGTATGGCAATTTTCGAATCGCCAGCCCATTTCGCACCGGACCAACTCCGGTCCTACTCCTAAACGCCAATGTCAATCTCCTGATGATGCTCCTTCGTTACCTTCCCATTCTACTCAGAAAAGACCGACACGTCATGCACTCCCTCTCCAAGCTCAGTTTCGGACCACACAATGGACTAAATTCTTTACTTTAAGACTGACTTCTTCTTCTGCCTATCTTTCTGACCATAGTATTGGCAAAGTGCTCCTGCGTCATGTTGGTAGAGATATTTCATCTCATGCTCTCAAGAGCGGTACGCGCATCGTCACTGTCCAGAATGCTACCCAAGCTCATGATCTTTCTCTCCTTTTGAATATCGATACTACTCCTATCACTATTGAAAAACATCTTTCTCTCAATTCTTGTAGTGGTACTGTCATTCTGCCCCATACCATAGTCCAACAGAATTTCCAGTCATGTGGCAATGACATTCTTGAACAGCTGGAACTCCAGGATCTCCCAATCCTCAAAGTAGACACTTATGTCCTTCCTGCCCGTGGGCAGAGACGTTACCCTTGCAATGTGGCTCGTTTAACTTTTGACAGCCGAGAACTCCCGTCCTTTGTATATGTTGTGGGACATCGGTTACAAGTTCGAAAGGTGATACCTACACTGCAACAGTGTAGAAATTGCTGGTGTTTTGGTCACCCAGCGAAATATTGCAGATCTATAGCCGAATGCCCAGTCTGTGGTGCCGACAACCATTCTAATACATCTTGCAGTCAACCTCCATCTTGCCTTAATTGTAATGAAGCTCACCCTTCGTACTCCCGCCATTGCCAGGTCTACTTAAATGAACGTGAAATCCGTTGCCTCAAAGAGGCAGAAGGTCTCCCTTATGCTATGGCAGTTACTCATCTCCGCCTCCAAGGGAGACTACCCCGTGTTTCTTATTCTCGTGTTTCAAAACATCCCCCCACTTCTGGGGTCCCATCTTCTGCAGCCTCCTCTGTTGTTACCCCTCCCATAGCCACTCCAGCATCTAATCCTTTTGCTGTCCTTGGCTCTGACGTCCCGACTACAACTCAGTCTGTTCTCACATCTTCGCGTCCTTCCTCACAAGCCCCAGTATCGACAAGACCTCGTACGACACCTAATACCAATCGCCCCTCTACTTCTCAGAAGTCCAAAAAATCCACATTGCTCAATACTTCTTTGCCCTTTCCTTCCCTTCTTCCACCTCCACACTTTACCTTTCCAGTCTCTGTGCCTAGTTCTTCCCCTCTCTCTGGCTCTATTACAAGTGTGGAGATTCACCCTCCTCCTCGTACTATGCCTTCCACCCCCATCCCCTCCCAAGTTTCTCCCTCTTCTGCCACCTCCCAGGTTTCTGCCTCTTCTGTTCCCCCCCACACTTCATCTCCA